TAAATGGAGAGGATTCAGACTTGGGGTCTCGGACTGAACAACTAGAGCCACAATCTCCCACCAAATAATCTAAATCTTAGAACCTCATAAAAAATATTATAAACATAACTTGAGCAGCAATATCATCCAATATTTGGTTTCTTTTAGCAGATAATAATTGCATATAAGTTGCCAGTCAAATGGGTCTAGCTTTCAAAACTGAGTTCATCCCATAATTAAAGTTTAAAGTTTATTTCAAAATTTTAAAGTTTAACTAAGAGAAAACAGAAATGCCTTCAAAAAGGTAATTCAAATAACTATAATAGGAACAATATGCTAGCTGGAGACAAGTAGAGTCTCACTACAAAGGTAAAATGACAGCGGAGAAATAGGGAGACGGCAACACCACAAAAATGGTCGTGTCTTACAAGCTATTATTCCGCATAATCACAACACTCTCCTTAAACTGTCAACAATGGTGATCGTAACAAAGTTGAGATATACATCACCCAAAGGCCAACCACATGAACAAGAAAAAGAATGCCTCTGGAACTACCAAAATCACGATTACATTACGCCAATAACTGATCGACTCATTGTTTCATAGAATATACACCATATTTCAACACAACTACGTATATAGCTAACTAAATGACAAAGCCTCGTGAATCCGACATATACATAATCCCATCATAGATCTTATAAAGATGGCTGCGTCGTGCCTACTCAATTGTTCGTATCTTATAATATGATCATTCTTTAAACCTACCTTGAAGATGATCCAAGCACTTGCTATGTGGTATTCTCTAAGTGGTGATTATCTCAGCTTTGACTCACTCCCCTTGCTTCGGAATGATGAGAGTGAGAAGAATGACCGCGGAGCTGCAACACAGAACCATAAGCATATCACTGTCAGAAAGATTCTAAGCAAATTCCATAAACAGACATAAGCATTTCCTTCTTGCCATCGTAAAAGACTCTAGCACACAGCCAAAGAAAACTTGATAACCAATTCCGACTGGTGAACTGAAGCTGTCCAGGATAAAATGGAATGTTTTTTTAGCTCTTCACAGCTTCAAATTCATCAGCCAAAAAGTTGCTACTACCACTACACCAGAAATTTTGTTTCCTAGGTTGAAGCAACAAAGTACAGTGTACTATGGGGGTTATCCACGGATTTGCCTCCAATAGAGTAACTTCACCCTTGCATTTCAACCAAGAAAAGTAAAAGAAATTACAAAACAAGAAAACGTTAATAGAGAATCACCTTTCAATGAGCTTCCTGACAAATGATCCTCCCTCAGTTTAAAGTTCATTGGAGGTGCTGGGATGGAGCTTCGTAATGCTTCAACTGCATAGAGTAGTCAATTTGAAAATTTAGCTTTACATTTTTTTTCCCATGGGATAAATGCAAGAAAGAAATTTCTTTAAAAATAAATCAATTCGCCAAGTTCATAGCATATATGCATAGGAAGTTCAAACATAAGTGAAAAAAATATATCAAACAGGATAATTTGTTTTAAGTATTTGCAAACTACCTGCTGTTTCGACAAGAATGCATAGGGTCAACATTTTGATGAAGGTAGTATATGATTCTAAGGTAATTTAAATCACACATTTTTAAAACTGAAAGATAGATGATTATTGGAAAACTCAGTGGGCTTTCTGTTTCGCCACTACAATCCAAAGAAAGTGGTGCTTGTGAAATGGATGCATTATAGGAAGTTATGAAATGGACGCATGGAAACTGTAGCTGCGAATGCAAAGAAGTGAGTTGGGTTTCTAGTCCCTAGAGCTCTTCAAGGTTCATTAGGAAACCTTGGCAGCATTCAGCCACTTTGATTTTTTCAATCTAAGAAAACGGTTGGGACTAAAATATTTCCCCACATACAACAAGCTCTAAGTCACAGGAGTTACACGAAGAAAACCTTCAATTGGCAATATACAGGTTATATAAGAGAATATAATTGGAAAATTAGGATATCTGTAAGTTACCCTGTTCATTGAACTCGCTTTCA